CCTAAAACACCGACTTACTGTAACCCGTAATGTTTCAAGACTAAACACTGCAACGTTTCTATATTAAATATTGTAACCCGTGTATGTTTCAAGACTGAACACTGCAACGTTTCTATATTAAATATTGTAACCTGTGTATGTTTCAAGACTGAACACTGCAATGTTTCTATATTAAATATTGTAACCTGTGTATGTTTCCACACTAAACACTGCAACATTTCTATATTAAATATTGTAACCCGTGTATGTTTCAAGATTGAACACTGCAACGTTTCTATATTAAATATTGTAACCTGTGTATGTTTCCACACTAAACATTGCAACGTTTCTATATTAAATATTGTAACCCGTGTATGTTTCAAGACTAAACACTGCAACGTTTCTATATTAAATATTGTAACCTGTGTATGTTTCAAGACTGAACACTGCAACGTTTCTATATTAAATATTGTAACCCGTGTATGTTTCCACACTAAACACTGCAATGTTTCTATATTAAATATTGTAACCCGTGTATGTTTCAAGACTGAACCTTATTTAATGTCTTATACAAGATTTTATAAACATTGTTACTGTATGTAATGTCAATACTATAAACTGTTTTGAAAATCTACTGTAAAACAAGATTTATCTAGGTTTTGTCATGCATGGTAATCTTCATGATTACCTTAATAGTGAAGATCTCATCATCTTCGTTGTTCGACTTTGGTTTCTTTGGGGCAGGAGCTACAGTCACAAACTCTTGACATATCTCATTAGATGTGCCTACAAAATAAAATTAAAAACATTATCATAATTATTTTCCTATTCCATTTTGTGCTTTTTTACTGAAGATAACAAAAATCAGGATTCAGATAATTATTCTATTAACAATCATCAAGGACATTGTAACTAGAAAAAAGACGGTTAAATATTACACAGTTAAAAACAAATTCATTTTAACAGTTGATTTTAGAAAGAAACAACACAGGTAAGGATTTGATTTAACAAAAATATTTTTGTACAACAACAGTAAAAAGAATAAACATTTCTTGATTTTTATGTTGTTGTCAGAAACACTAACATTCTCAAAACAAACTTACGTTTAACGGCTTCTCCAAGACCTTGAGAATGTGGTTCATGTTGCCGCTCAAAGTGTTTCTCGTCAGTTCTACGATCTCTCCCAGGACAAGCACAAATCCTTACTTCCAAAGACTGACGCCCCATACACAAGCCGCTGTACAGTGACAGTAAAAACATTAGCATCATTCCACATGCTGCCAGTCCTTACATGTTATATATTTCTTTATTTGCTAAAATAATAACGTAAAACTAAAAAGTACAACATTTTCAAGTTGGGAAAAACATCAGATAATGGTAAAGCCCGTATTTAACTTGACCTCTTTAGTGACTGAGGAGGTTAACAAGTCTTTTGCCTATACTTCTGCATAATCTTATATTATGTAACTGATACATCAGTTAGTCTTGAAACTAATATCCAGGAGTGCTGTAGCAAATCGAGAGAAGCCATTAAAAAAAATTTAACATTGTTAGAAACACACAAAACAAACATCACGTATTCAATCCAAGAGAAAAAAAAAATGGAAAGTCTTGTCATACTGAAATCAAGTAATTTCAAAGTCCTGTCCAACATCAGTGAAAACACAAGTCTTGAAACACTGCAGAAGAAATAACAACTTAAGCTTACAAGAAAAATAATATTGAGAAACTTGGAAGGAAAATTTGCAATGCAATCCATAATTTGTTTGTTAAACACAAAGCTACACAATGGGCTATCTGTCTTGTGCCCACCACAAGTACTGAAACCTGATTTTCAGCATCATAAGCCATCGGACTTACCGCTCGGCCACCGGGGGACAAATCGTATTCCCGGTTAATTAGACGCTGTAAACGTTATCGATATACTGTTGTAAAAAAGGTAAGCTTGCCAAGAACCATCTACACAATGATAGATGCCTTCTTCATAATAGAAATGTTAACCCTTCCCAAGGAGTATTGAATTCTGTTTACCGCTGATGGGCTCGTAACAAAATGCTCCTTACTGTAGTGCAGTAGAAGAAACTAAGTCCATTCACTTACATTGTATAAAACTACCCGAAAAGATTAAAAGAAAAATTTTGCTACTCACCATTTATTTTCAAGAGTAAAAACAATTTTTATTGGTCGTCGATTCAGTCCTCCCACACAGCTGCCCAGGCACATGAACTTGAAGAGATAAGTTGTGTACGACATTCCAACTGAATAAAAATTAAACGAAAATATGAAATCAGGAGTTAAGGTTATTCAAGACATTCTAACTGAAACCAAAACCATAATTACAAATGTCCTTTACTGTGTAACATGGAGAGGTGGGTTAGGAAAGAAATTATAATTTAAACGAAAACCATAATTACTTCGTGTGAAACGAATATTGTGTAAACAAGGCAAGGTAGGTAAAGTAATATAATATATCCCGACTAAAACTACATCTACAATATGTGACAGAATGTTGAATGAAAATTATACATCAAAGCATTGAAATTGTGATGTAAAAATGCAAATATACAGATGTATAAATGATGCTACAGATATAGATGTAACACAAGTTGGAGATATATAGCTAACGGATGAATCAGACACACATCTTCAAAATAATTTAAGCTTAATTTCCCCAATTTGGATTAAAAAAAAAAAGTTGGTCAAACAAAAAGTCTGGCATATTTGACCTGGTTAAACAAAAAGTCTGGCATATTTGACCTGGTCGAACAAAAAGTCCGGCATATTTGACCTGGTCAAACAAAAAGTCTGGCATATTTGACCTGGTCAAACAAAAAGTCTGGCATATTTAACCTGGTCAAACAAAAAGTCCGGCATATTTAACCTGGTCAAACAAAAAGTCCGGCATATTTGACCAACAAACTCGTCAGATCATCCTTAAAAGTGTTAGTTGCACGACAGCTAATACAGAGCTGAAAATATACAATTGAAAAACATGATTTTCCGAGACGACTTTCGGCATGAACTTGTAATATAAATTGTTGGTTCCTAAAACCTGGTCGATTTTGAATTTTTAGAGATTTGAACAGAAGACTAGAATATCAGTATAAAATTTGTGTCCTCAATCAGCAGTCTTTAATTTTTAAACAACAGTTCAAGTTATTACAGAATAGTGGTCCTCAACCTCTCAAGTTATTTTTTTCTCTCCCCACACCCCTTCAACAAACACGACTTATCCCGATCGAGATTTTTTTTCAATGGAAATAGTTCAGTGGGACTGACAAAAACTAGATATTTTAAATTATATGTAATAACTACTGTATTCTGACAGATACCTTTTGATAACCTGGTTTTATAAATAATGTCTCATTAATTATAAATTTATAGACTTGAACACTGTTTGAGCATTTACACATCAGCAAATTTCAAGATCCTTAAAGCTTTCAACATTTTTCGTTTTTTTTTTACAATAGATCTTATGTATGGAGAAATAGTAGCCTAAAAACAGTGGCTGGAAATCATTTAGATGCAACATCTGACCTGTTTAATTAATTTAATGATAATAAGATATAATAAAAGATTTAACAATTCTTAAAATTACAAGTCAGCCTTCAATAACAACATATGTAAATGGAAAACTTAAAAACATTAAAACTGTTAGTACCGTAATATTTACAGAGACAAAAAAAACTGTCTCACAAAATTAACTATGTAATCTTTGCCTTACACGAGTCAATTTTAAATAAACTTCTATAGTGAGTTTAATAGCTTACCTTGTGGATTTTCAAAAGGTACAATAACTGACTGTCTTTCACTATTAGAATCCATAACATAGTATGCTTGTGGACTTTCACAACGAATCAGATGGTCAGGAGCTGGATGGTCTAGAGGAACAGTAAGTAAGTAAGTTACATTTTTTGTTGTTGTTGTTATTATTATTATAATATATATATATATACTTTTTTTTTTATCAAAGGTTATTTTGTATTCTTAGCTTAGTATACGGACTTTGGATTATCTCCTAAGCTGGCCAAATCTTGAAAGATATTATTAGGATTATGGATGAAAATATTGCAAACAGTAAGGACACCAAACTGATGACCCAATTAATTCTAGTTTTTATAACTTGGATATCTAATTATCTATACTCATTACTGGATCAATTTTTAATAGGACCTACATTGATAGCTTGCTCTGATCATAAATTAATATTAATTTATCAAATCAGGAAGGATGTGTAACTTAAAAAAAAAACAGGGCAAATAATTTTAGTAACATTAGACATCAAACTTTATAAATTATTAGTTCCATAGAAATAAGTAAACTAGAATATTTGGAACCAAAATTAATTCAATAAACCTAATCAACTATTTTAAATATTTATTACTTTCATTGGTCACGTCACTTGGACTTGAATGGTTCAGGCAGCGTTTAACCACGTCTTTAACGTACTCTGGTTTGGTAAACACTGCCATAGCTCTGAGCACCGAGCCGGGAGGGGGTGGGTGCGTTGTGTGGAACCTCACGGGACAAGCAGTTCCCATGTTTACGTACAGTTTGTCTTTCATTTCTGAATACTGAGGGAAAATAAAAATAATTATGGAGTAAACCTTTTTTTTCAATCCATGTTTAGGCACATCAACAAAAACAAAAACAGAAAGTTAATGTCTAACTCGACTACTGCCAAGACATCCAACTGACGTATACAGCCGACATGATTTATGTATGTCTTTTGTGTTTCAAGTCATACATCTACAATCTTCAAGAAAAAAAAAAATCTAAGGATTCATTTTTAATTATTATAAAACACTGGAGAGAAATGTACTCACAGTTAGAGAAAATATGACAGAGAATAAAAACTAAGGGCGTATAATGTATTCATTCCAAGAGAAAATATGACAGTAAAAACTAAGGGTGTATAATGTATTCATTCCAGGAGAAAATATGACAGTAAAAACTAAGGGTGTATAATGTATTCATTCCAGGAGAAAATATGACACAGTAAAAACTAAGGGTGTATAATGTATTCATTCCAGGAGAAATATGACAGACAGTAAAACTAAGGGCGTATAATGTATTCATTCCAGGTGAAAATATGACAGTAAAAACTAAAGGCGTATAATGTATTTATTCCAAGGTTTAACGAAAAGTCAGTTCAGATTAGAATCATCTTTGAAGTTTTCTTTAAAATATACCTACATCACAAATTACAATTTGAAAAAACAGGTTACTTAAATCCATCAGGAAGTTACTTAATAATCTTAAATTTATCAGGATGTTACTTAACTTTATAACAGAGAAAATCTGTCCTTTCCAGCTAACAACAGTACAACGTAACTAGAGAACTTGTCACTTAATTTGGAAAAAAATAAAAACTTCTAAATCAAGTCTCAGCAGAAAAAAAAAGTCTCATCAAAAATTAATCTTGCACGAGAAAATACTTTCAATATTAAACTATTACAGTTTTATATCTAACCTGCTGGTCCTATATTAAAATATTACAGTTTTATATCTAACCTGCTGGTCCTAAATTCAAGACAAAAATAATCCCAGATCTTTTTGTACATGCAAAGAACTCAAGTTAAAAAGAATTACATTTTAATTGATTTTTTTTAATATTATTAAAAGAAAAATTAGAAAACTTTTTTTTATAAAGAAATTAAATTTCCAGACTTGGAATAAAAATGCTTATAAATTGATTAGTGGTTTTCTAATTAATAATTCAGCCGAAATGCTTAACCTCGTTTATAGCAGAGAGAGGGTAACAAAAACTCAGTTCATAGTAACTGAATTACAAAAAAAAAAGAGTTCTAAGCTATTGCATGTTCAAATCTTATTGATAGGTAACACACAGAATAGATAATACACTTACCGTCCAGGCTGTGCTTTTAGTGGGCTTCTCCTGAGGACCAAACGATATACAGAAACCATACTGTCCAAGCCAGTTGTTTCTGTATCATAATAAGAACACAAATCCACATCAATTTTAAAAGTATGCATAAATAAGTTGAAAAGCATAGAGTACTTCTAATTGGCTAAGAACACAGTTTTCTGAGTTTCAAACCTATCGATTGCCGAGTACAGGTTGTAACTACCGATTTTAAAGACATAGTAAACTCTGGCAGTCAACTGGTTATATATAAGGGTAACCAGGAAGACTTGGTTTATTAATTTTAGCTTGTAACGTAATAACTAAACATTTAAAACTATACTTGTAAACCAATAGATTGCCGAGTACAGGTTGTAACTACCGATTTTAAAGACATAGTAAACTCTGGCAGTCAACTGGTTATAGATAAGGGTAACCAGGAAGACTTGGTTTATTAATTTTAGCTTGTAACGTAATAACTAAACATTTAAAACTATACTTGTAAACCAATCGATTGCCGAGTACAGGTTGTAACTACTGATTTTAAAGACATGGTAAACTCTGGCAGTTAACTGGTTATAGATAAGGGTAACCAGGAAGACTTGGTTTATTAATTTTAGCTTGTAACGTAATAACTAAACATTTGAAACTATACTTGTAAAGCACGACTCATGTAAACACTTACGTGGCTGGCAGAGTACAAGATGCAGGTGTTGGCTGGTGGGTGAGAACAGGAGGAAGAGAAACCTTGGAGTAGTCTGTATGAACCATTTCAGTCTTTATAAATAAAACAAAAAAACAACACTATAAACCTCTCGTTAAGTTTCTATAGTCGTAACATTGAAAACTGATAATTCAGAGCTGACCTTCACATTCGTAAATTACAACAAGTTACTAAAAAAAAAAAACAAAGAAGGAATCCATATTTTAAATATAATTTTCTTACTGTTAAACTTTTAAATCAACTGTAAACTGTTTTACAGTAGCATGGATAAACGCAGAGTTATGCTGGAAAAGTACATTTTTATATTTTTAACTATTCAAATTGGGCTTAATTGGCTGTCCAATTTCCAGTAAATAGCTCATGGCATCGATGAATGATACACTGGTAATTAGATTACTCTTTTAATATATGTAATATACAGTGGAATGTAAATAAAATGCTGTAAGATACACTTATGTTTAATTGGTAGGCTGTACGAATGGCAACAGACGATAGAAGCTACACACTATGAATATCAGCAACCAAGTGTAGTTTATTTAAGGAATTCTTCTTTCCCAGCCTCACTAGAGGGCTGCTATAACAATAATTTACAAGGTCATTTTTAATCTCTAATCTGTCCCTGATGATATGCTTCAAGAGAATTTAATGAAAAGCGTAACAAAAAACTAACATAAGTCTCTACAGAGGCTCAGGTCATGTATAAAAGTTTGTAATGGAAACAATTAAATCTAAGTCTCTACAGAGGCTCGGGTCATGTATAAAAGTTTGTAATGGAAACAATTAAACCTAAGTCTCTACAGAGGCTCGGGTCATGTATAAAAGTTTGTAATGGAAACAATTAAATCTTTGTTAACTCACAAAAGATTGACTTACCACTAAATCTGTGTAAGTGACAATTAGTAAATATGTTAATACTGTCACTTTGTTAACTCACAAAAGATTGACATCACTAAATCTGTGTTAGTGACAATTAGTAAAGATATTAATACTGTCACTTTGTTACTTCACAAAAGATTGACACCACTAAATCTGTGTAAGTGACAATTAGTAAAGATGTTAATACCGTCACTTTGTTAACTCACAAAAGATTGAAATCACTAAATCTGTGTAAGTGACAATTAGTAAAGATGTTAATACCGTCACTTTGTTAACTCACAAAAGATTGACACCACTAAATCTGTTTAAGTGACAATTAGTAAAGATATTAATACCGTCACTTTGTTAACTCACAAAAGATTGACATCACTAAATCTGTGTAAGTGACAATTAGTAAAGATGTTAATACTGTCACTTTGTTACCTCACAAAAGATTGACTTACCACTAAATCTGTGTAAGTGACAATTAGTAAAGATGTTAATAATGTCACTTTGTTACCTCACAAAAGATTGACATCACTAAATCTGTGTAAGTGACAATTAGTAAAGATGTTAATACGTCACTTTGTTACCTCACAAAAGATTGACACCACTAAATCTGTGTAAGTGACAATTAGTAAAGATGTTAATACTGTCACTTTGTTACCTCACAAAAGATTGACACCACTAAATCTGTGTAAGTGACAATTAGTAAAGATGTTAATAATGTCACTTTGTTAGCTCACAAAAGATTGACACCACTAAATCTGTTTAAGTGACAATTAGTAAAGATGTTAATAATGTCACTTTGTTAACTCACAAAAGATTGGGTTACCACTAAATCTGTGTAAGTGACAATTAGTAAAGATGTTAATACCGTCACTTTGTTACCTCACGAAAGATTGACACCACTAAATCTGTGTAAGTGACAATTAGTAAAGATGTTAGTACTGTCACTTTGTTACCTCACAAAAGATTGACACCACTAAATCTTTGTAAGTGACAATTAGTAAAGATGTTAATAAAGTTACTTTGTTACCTCACAAAAGATTGACTTACCACTAAATCCGTGTAAGTGATGGTTGACGAAGATGTTGATGGGTTAATGTAGCTGCAAGACACCTATAACAAAGTTAAAAGTTTATTTTAATACTAACATCAGAAACTGTTAATGAAACAGATTAACACCTTTTTTTGTGTGTGCAGTTTTATTCATATTAGCTACCACATCGACACTGCAACCTAATAAAAGTATCAAATGGGTAACTTTTATTACATATTAACATTGTTTGTGGTTATCAAGTACAAGTAGTTTATTTATATATATATATATATATAGTATAGAATAGTCTACAGGCCTGTGACTTCCTTGTTTCTTACTGTGTTTGTCTATTCCCAAAGTCAAAGTGGGTTCTTTGTTATGTAAATCAACAGTATCACATGATGTTCTGCATACCATAAGATATTATCTTGG